CTGTTCCCAGGGCATAGAAAACGGGCGAAAGAGATTTCCAAAATGGGGCGGATCTATACCAGATTACCCACGAATTATCAGCTGTTCCCAGGGCATAGAAAACGGGCGAAATAGACATAAATACGTTGTTATTATTTATTATCAGATTTTCCTCGTTTGTCGTAAATATATAAATAAATAAAGAGGGTTAAAGAATCTATTGCTCAGAGTCAGAAAAGAGTAGAACAGAAAACAGTCTGTGAGTAAACAAATGAATTGCGCTAAGCGTGTAAAAAGTGACGCATGCGCAGTATTTTTTCTTTCTTTTTTACCCGTTATCTGCGCAGAATCACGTTCTAAGTCCCACCCACAAGCCTTAAACCACGCCCACTCCTATCTGAACAACCACAAAAGAGATAAAGAAAAAGAGAAAAAAAGAAGAAGAAAAATTAAATATATTCCTCTTATTAGGTTAGCAATTAGTACCACAAATTACTCAACATTACGAAATCTTATCCTGAGAAATTTTATATACAATAATTGTAAATATAATTAATTTTTAATGTGTTATCTTTCTGCTCAGGAACTTGGATAACCTAAAGTAGATATGATCTTTTTATCAGAATTTCTTATCAAACATATCCTTAATTATTATCTTAAAAGTGTCAATGAATTAATTTTAGAACGGAAAAGCAGTAATTATGTTGATTATAGTGATGTTCATGATCATGATATTGATGAATGAATAATGATGAATAATGAATCATGCTTAATGATGAAATTATGAAGAAGATGATAATATTGATAATAAAAGAGGTGAAAAGGGAAATGTTAAAAAAAAGAAAAAAAAAAAAGTAGGATGAAAAAAAAAAAAAGAAAAAAAAAAAAAAAAAAAAAATAAAAAGGAATCAGAACAAACACAAGAAAGAGAAAAAAAATAAAGAAAGACAAAAAATATTTAAAAAGAAAGTACAATAAAGAAGAGAAAACAAAAAAAAAAAAAAGAAAATGGACGAAAAAAGTGGATTTAGTGAGATTTCGAAAGACCTTCCCCCTCCAGCCTCCCCCCCCCCCCTCCCCCCCCTTGGGTTAAACTGGATATCTCCGTTGGATTTTTCCCTTAAATCTTATCATCCTTTTCTGTTTTTTTCCCTCTCTTTCTTAACGTCTCTTTTCTCTTTCTCTTTCTTATTTTCTCTCCTCCCTCTTCCCTTTCTATCTTCTCTCTCTCTTTCTTTCTTTTTTATTCTCTTTCTCCTTTCCCTCTCTCTCATCTCTCTCCTCGTCACTTTCTCTCTTCTCTCCTCTCTCATCCTTCTCTCTCTTTCTCGCGGCATCCTCCACCTCTCTCCCCCATACTCGGTCTCCACTCTCCCTTTCTCTCTATGTCGTCTGTCGCTCTCACACCTCTCTCGCTCACCAGCTATCTTCGCTCTCTTCCAAGCAGATCACATTCCCCTCTCAGATTCCTGCGTCTCCATCGGTGCTCCCTGTCAATCATCTTTTCCACTCTTCTCCTACTTCTCTCTCTCTCTCCATCCTCATCTCAGCCATCTGATCCTCTTCCTCACCCTTGCTCTTCTCTCTGTTTCTGGTCAAATCTCTCTCCCTCTCTCTCATCTCTCCTTCCATCTCCTCCTTCCTACCCTCCTTCCTCCCTCCCTCCCTCCCTTCATTCCCTACCTCCTCCCTCCTCCCTTTTTTTGAATAATACCCTCCCTCCCTCCTTTTTCCCTCCTCCCTACCTCTTCCCTCGCCACCCTCACTCTCTTCCCTCCCGCCCTACTACCCCCTCTCCCTCACTCCCCTCTCTCCTCGATCTTCCTGCTTCCCATGCTATTTTTCCATCTATTTAAACATATCAGCATTCCTTCCCCCCTCCCCTCCCCTTCAGAAACAACCCAAAGCTTATCATTAACAAGAACCTCGGATGTTACAAATAACATCATCCTTTCACTGTCCCCTTTTCTGTTTCCTCTCTCTCATGTTCCCTCTTCCTACTATCTTCTTCCTTCTTTCTCTCGTCTTTCTCTCTTTCGTCCTTCGCTCTTTTCTCCTCCCTTGTCTCTACTTTGTCCCCTTTTCTTTGTCTCTTCGGTCTGGTTTCGCCCT